AGTGCTGATATCGGGTTTCGAATTGCAGACCGTTTGGAAAAGAAAATGTGTGCAAAGGATCTTTTGTTGCTAATATTGGCATCGCGTGGTGCTCTTGCTTCCCGAGCTCTGGAACAATTAGGTTTGCGTGCCTTCATGTATGGGGAGCTTGTCATTGCAATAGTAGAGGGACTCAAGGAGCTGCCGCCACCATCGCCTTCCAAACCGCGGTCCTCGGTGCTGAATGTAAACCATCAAGGGCACCCCACTCGCACCGTTGGATTAGGGAAACTGGAAGGCAGTGTCACGAGGATTCCGATGGAGTACAGGGTGCTGTACATACCGAAGGTTGAAAACTTTCCGCTGGTGGACGGCTTTTTCTTTGTTGATTCGCCGCGGAGGACGCTGGTTGGGCTGCAGATGACGACGGCGGGTGCGCACCACACCATACCCAGCACTGTGAAGCTGTTCAATGAACGCCTGGCGGCATATTTTGAAGGATGGGAGGAATTATCCCGAGACCTGTCGTGGGAGATGATTTATATACAACACGCATTGAGCAAAGAAATATCAAAATGGCGGAGATGTGATCCCGTCAATACCGAAAATTTGAGCGACGCTGAAAAAGAGATTGTGGCGTTCTGGAACGGAAAGGTACACCAATACCAGTTTGTGTTGACACCTGATTTTGTAAATAAAATCCGAGAAATGAGAATACAACAATCTTGGGGGAAAAGGGATAGGGAAGAAAGTTAGGGAAATAGTTGGGGAACAAAGTGCATTTTGTTCTGGTGAAATATATTGGGAAGTATTTTAACGATTTTTATGTGTGTGTGTGCCTACGGGTTCTAGACAGTGAATGCCTTTCTTTTCAGAGAACCGTTGTGATCAGCAGTGCCACACTCACACCACTCTTTTTTCATTTTATTTTATTTTTTCCACCAGAGGCGCATCGTCACTGGAGGCTGTTGCGCACTACAGGGGCCGCATAATTTTTTTTATTTTCATGGGATTTTGTGAGAAGAATGCCTGCGATGATGGCTGGCTGCCCAAATAAATTCATATCTCGCACAAACGAAGATATCTCTTTACAACTTTTTTCCCTTCTATCGCACTGTCTTTTGGGAGACCGCGATTGAGGGAATCAGGGAGCCGACAGCTGCCAGACGGAATTATTATTTATTATTTATTATTTATTATTTTTGCCTTCCCACCCACCCACTTTGTGATCCCCACCTTGTGGGTGGAGGAGCCCCAAAGGCCTGCCGCTTCGCGGGGGATAATTGTTTCTAATTGTAACTGTGCGCAGCAGCCCACGGCGGTGATTGACGGAATGTGTATATATAGACATATTGGGGGAAACATTACGGCGAACTCACTGCCTCTCCATTTACCGCTTTTTTTCCTTGTCCTTTTTGGATGATTTCAGAATCCGGCCGGCGGCCCAGAAGATTATTCAGTGTTGTTTCCCTCTCGGTCTCTCTCTTCTTTTCTTTCTTTCTGTCTTTGATCCTCCTGTGTGTGCATGCAACAAACGCACAGTGCAGCATTCAATATGATGTTCTTTCAATGGAGGCGAAAGCCGTTTCTGTTCCCACCAAACCACGACGCCGTCCTCGCAGCTCCCCGCGACAATGCGGGTAGACGGCAACACGGTGCGGTTGAATTGCCCCCAGCCCCTGAGGGATGCCGGATTCGCGGTTGCTGAGGCCTTGTTTGACGTCGATGAGGCGTTGGACGTGCCGGGCGCAAGCGCACTCTTCCGAAAATTGTGTGCCACTGCCGCCCCCAACTTTACTCATGAACGCCAGAACATGGTGGCCTTCAGCTACGGCGTGCGTTCGTCACCAAAGCGACAGCTCATGTACGGCTCTGCAGCCGGAGAAGGATATGCTGCTTGAGTCATCACTGAAGTTATTCGGCTGGGTGCCAAAAAGGGCATTTTTGCCCTCTCATGCCGCGTCATTGGGTCAACAGAGCATCGCGCAGACCTTCTTGACGCCGACAACGAGCTCGGCGTTATTGTCGACTCCGTGAAGGAGGGACCTCGTGTGCGAATGGTGGCGCGAATTCGTGTCTCATTGGCCGGCGACGTTCGAGCGGCGATGGACACTATCGTCAAAAACTATGAGAAATAGCTTTCCCCGTGCTGTGTGAAAGGCAACCAACGCCTGAGCTGGAGGCAATGCCTTATTTGCCCGACACCGTCGTTCTTCAGCTTCACCGCGATGATGGTGAGGCGGAGTTTGCAGATTATATGGATGCAAACTCCCTGACATTTGTCGCCTTGGGAGATGCCGAACGGTCCGCTTTGTGTGGCATTGATGCCGCCGCGCAGCCACACTACGAAGGGGCCCAACGAGCACTGGTGTCGGCAGCAGGAATTGTCTCCAACATTCGCCGCCGTCGTCTGTGCATTCCCTTCGGCATTTCAGAACTCAGTGAGTTGTTGCGCCGAGCGTACAACACGGAAAAAGGCAACCGCAGCAATAGCCTCACTGGTTCTACCGAGACGGCTTTATTGGCTCACGCCTTTTTGGATGCCGTGTGGGCGGAGGAATCGTTCCATTGTCTCTCCACGACTCGCCGTGTTGGCAATATTCTTGTCTCGACCGGAATTGGATCCACCACAAGGGATCTTGCTGTTGACAAGTGGCGTCTTGATCAGGACATCATGGAATTCCGGGATGAACTCATGATTGCCCGGACCGCATACGACTACAGGCATTTTAGCTATGAATCCAACAGGCCATTTCAGACATGAGGGATGAATGGATGAAGCGCATCAACGCCATTGAGAGCAACCGTGAGGAGGCGCGGGAACGGCAGCTGAGTGTGTTTTGCGAGCGCGCCAATCATGAGGCGGAGAAAATGGCCGAAGAGCTTGAGCGGAGAGGTGGGACCACGTTGGACGAACTTGAGAGGACTCTGGAGGCGAAAAAGCGGGAGAGCACTGCTCTGCAGGCTGACCGCGAAAGCCGCAATTGGGAGTGCGAGCATACGGTGGAGAAGATCCGAACGAGGAAAGGGGACGAGGAGAGTGCCTCTGAGAAGTTGCGGCAGGCGATGCAGCAGCCGGAGCAAGGACGCAGCCTACGGCAGAGCGCCATTTGGACGAAGGAGCGGCAGCTCGAGATGGTTCAACTTGACGGGGCGAGGGAGCGAGAGGCCATCATGCGGGAGCGGCAGTCCATTCAGGCGGTGCGAAGGACCGTCCGGAAGGAGCGGTGTCGCCGGCGGAGGCAGTGGATCCATCAGATTAAGGAAATGAATGCAAAATTCCCGGAACAGGTGCGTCCCTTGGCCGAGGAGCGGAAGAAGAAGTACGAGCAGGCGAAAGCCAAGGAGGACGCCGCCGAGAGGGCTCTTGCTGCCGACGTCAAAATGATCGAGGAGCATTTGCCGAAGCTCATTTCCCTTGAAGAGATTCCTGTGAATCCGGAGGGGACGGACATCATTCGACGCCGGTTTGACGAGGTCTTCACGCAAGAGGAACAGACATACTTGGCCAGCGCTGAAGAGGAATGGGCCCGCAAGGAGAGGCTGGGACGAGGACTCGAGGTGCATCGACAGCGTATGCTTGATGATTACGTGGCAAAGAAAAATGAAAAACTGCATGACGCCGAGACAACGGAACGCCACCTCAGTTCTGTTGTGGATCAGGTGCTGAATTAATTACGCAACGGGGTCTGCGTGACAAAGATACCGAGCAAGGGCAATGCTTGCAGACGCCTATGTTTTCTCTCCGAGGACTGCAAACGTATTCATTCCTGTGATCTGGACCGTCAGGGATTCCCGTTAAATCGCAAACGGCCTCCAGTCACCATGTGGATACGTGACATCGAAAAAGTTCTCATCGGCCTGTCCACAACCTCATTTGTGAACTACAGCGGCGAGGCACAGCTGGCAAAAACACGCCAGGAGGCAGTTTTTGACAATGGGACGCACCGCCATGATGCCACGCAAAAAATCACTCCGTCCAGCCTTGGAACAAACAACCACCGCGCATTCGCACTTTTTCTTCGCGGCGGGAAATCACTGGAGGTAGTTTGTGAGACTGACAGCGATTGCGAGGCTTGGCCTGTTGCTCTCAAGCGTCCACTGCATTTGAGGACTCCTGCGGAAAGGCTTCTTGAGGAACGACGGGGTACGTGAAGAGACGCACGTGCGCAGCCAAGCGATAATGACGTGGAAATGCGGTGGGGCGGCCCACTTGACATCCGCAATATGCGAGGATTTGTTTCTTTGGCCCCCGATGCAGCAGCTCTTTGCGGCGAGCATCACATTCCGCCAGCCCTCTTCATTCGGCTGGAACAGGAGCCGGCTGAAAAGTCTCAAAGGAGCATAATAACCGCATATGAGGTCCGAGCAAACTCGGACCTGAATCTCTTTTGCTCTGGCCGACTTTACGACTACTTGTGCGAAAAGCGTGTCGCTCCGCCTCCGTACTAATGCTGTGGGATCTTTTATTGTTTTTCTCTCTTTTTTTCCCATGGCTATTTGTGGTTTCCTTGTGTGCTCTTTTGGATGTATTGAGGCGGCTGGTTGGAGAGGCTAACTGCCGCACAATTTTGTGTGAAGAGGACTTTTGAACCCCACGTGTTTGGGTTATTAGCGAGTGAAGAAAAAGGGCAATGATGGTCACCACCAGTACTACTGCTGTTTTTTCCTTTTCTTTGCTGCCAGTTTGAAATAGGCTATCCATCATTTCTTGTGGGTGTTCCACACCCTTCTTCTTTTTTCCTCTTTTTCTGGATGCGTTTTTTTAGCACCGCCGTTGTGGGGCCATTGCTTTGCCAACATGCATACGGGGGTGGTGCTCCTTCCCATAGATGTGCCGTGAAAAAATATTAATATATTTTCAAATGCGCCGTGTGCTTCTCTGTGTGCGTGTAATGTGGGGCTTAGGCCTCACTCAGGCAGGGGCAATGACATCTTTGCACCATTGCGAGGCGGCCGTCGAGGCGGTGCACTAGCACAATAAACTGTGCGTTCCATAACATACAGAGTATTCGCTACTGTGGGAATCGAACACTAGTTTTTTTGGTGAAACTACCAGGGCTTATCCACTGGGTGCGGTGCGTTGATTCGGCAAAGGGAACAGAAGGACGTCCTCTATGAAGTGTGCCTGTGGAGGGAGAACTGAACTGCTACCTTGGTGAGTATAAAATATTGGTGTTTATCTGAAACGAGAGGGCGCATCGCTGTGCATGACGAGACTTTATTCATACGGACGTGATGCGGCGGGTGGAGGAGGCCAACGGGCATGGGCAATACGAGAGCGATGCCATTGTTGCCTGTTGAGATGATTTGAGCAGTGATGATGATAATGATGGGGCGAACGCTCTCAGGTAGAAACGCTCTTCTCGCTGTCAAGGTATTAAAGTTGCACGGTAATGTGCCGCAGGTTGACCGGACCTCTTTTTGTGGGTTCTTCCGACACGTCGGTGGAGCTGCTCGGCGTTCTCCAGAAGGGTGTTCTGTTTTGCACAGGTGTGGCTGCCCGAGGATTGTATCCGCCACGGGCGGACTGAAGTGTGCACGACGATCCTCCGACGGATCCAGCGTGTTGTACTCACCGCACTGGACGGTCAATCCCGCATTGGCAACGTTGGGGACTCTCTGCTGTTCCTCATGCCACACGAAGCAGGATGCATCCCATGCGTGAGGACCCTTTATCGCCAAAGAGAGAGGGATCAGTGGCTCCTTACGGGAAATGAGGCGGCAGCAGCAGCAAATAGAAGAATGATAATGCG